TTATTTTGTTCTCTGTATGATTAACAATCATTAAATTATGTGGCAAGTATGGTAATTTGAAAAATTATTTCGATCATTTTTGATTACGAAGGGCCTCTTCAGTTCCCCAAATTTAGTTAAAGTTGTTTAAGAGGGAAGAATGCCAAAATAATTCTTGCACTGGCCGTTGAAAGAGCTATAACTGGCCCTGGCTGTGTTGATCTAGTGAATTAAAAAACAATGTACCACCGAGAAAATGATTCTGAGTGAACGAGGTCGAATAAATCAGTTTATATTTCTTAAGTTGATTGATATATTAAAAGAACCAATTTTCTCATTGAGGTAGATTGAACTTTTAATAATCAATAACTTTTGTTTTAACCTAACCTAACCTTCGAAACGAAAAAAAATTCATCTAGTTTGAGAAAATCGAAAATTTCTAGTGTTTATCCATAGCATGAATTTCATTAAAATATTTCAAAACTATAAAATTATTTTGACTACACAACTAATATAATTTCAATAAAAATTCGTTAAAATATATAATTTTGAAAAAATGTTATGTTATATTGTAGTAAAAGGCAATTGTAGAGAAAATGTAGTCAAAGTTCATCTTCTACATCATCAATGCCATCAACCACTCCATTACCATCACCCTGTGAAGAATTCAATGAACCCATTCCAACAGATCAAAATACCTCATCACCATCATTCCAGAACTTGCAAAATTTTTATCAAAATCATCAATCTGATTAGTAGTAATAAAATGATTTACAATTATTAACATATTAAGTTTATTTGAAAAATTAAAATAGTATCTACCTACCTAAACAGTAAATTTTTAATATAAATTAATTTATAATTTTATTTTTATTATTAAGTAATTTTTAACTCACCTTAAGCAAACTGCTAAACGATCTTTTGGTGTTATAGTTTTTCTCCAATGCGTATCTTTTTTCTTTAAATATACATAGACTTTATCAAGTAATGTGTTAAAACAATATTCAAACATTTTAAAATATTGATAAAATTTAGTTTCATTTTCAATCAATTCTTTGTATAGTGTCAAGAACTCTCCTTCACTTTCTCTTTTTTGCCATGCCTCATGCACCCATTTTCGTTTCTTTGGATTTGATAACTCAGTTTCCTCATCCAAAATTATTGCAACTATACATAGTTCTTCGTCAGTAAAATTTGCCATATTGACGTAGTTAATGCGCAGTATTATTTAATTAATATTATTAAAATAAATAAATAATCAAAAAATATTATATGTAATGTGTATAAAATACACATGTTATCAGACTCAACACAACTGACCCGATATCTCGGAACTGACCGATCTCGGTGACTGATATGTGTGAAACATACATGACTGATCAGTCAAAATCGTTGGTAACTTGACTGTCTCTGATTGAAAACGTCACTGTCACGTGACTGATATGTGTGAATCGACCTTAAGGCACCTACAGTTAATAATGACCCAAAATAAAATTAATGCAGGGATCTATGTAAATCATCTTACAATATTACCTTAACATTTTTATTTTAAACTGGATTTTTTTTTTTTTGACACTGCATATAATCCAGTGGCGTAGCCAGGATTTTTCTTAGGAGGGGGGGAGAAGAGGCTGATAATTTTTTACACAGCAGTGGTTTAGATAGGTTCTTCCCTAAGTTTTAACATGTGGATACCAAAGTTATATTTTAGATTTTGATTCCTATCACCCACCATCATCTTAACATAGTAAGCCTACTCGTATATTGATTTAATAATACTATTGTATACTTTAAATACATTGGATATTGTATTTTATAGTAATTAATTACATGTATGGTGTAGTGCACATTGCTTAAATTTAGCAGTTGTTGATTGTTGTGAAGCAACTGAATGTGCTCAAGACTTTTTTGGTACAATTAGTAGTTTGGTAACATTTTTAGGTGCCAGAAAGAGAACCGCAACATATATAGAGTTTCAAAAACAATTATATAAAAACTAACGTATTCGTAGGTTAAAAAGTTTTTCTGCTACGAGATAGACATACCATGACCGTTCTTTTGAAGTTATATAAATTACTTATAAATCAATTATTTTAACATTAAAAAAAATTGGCCTTGAAGAAACTGACAAAAGAAAACAAACATTTAGCTAATAGTTTTTTAAAGCAACTTAATTCTTTTAAATGTGTTCTTACAATGCATATGATGCGCAATATATTCTCAATTACTATACTATTATCAAATTATTTACAAAATCCTGCTATTGATTTCATTCAAGTAATACATTTAATTAAAGTGACTCGACAACAAATACAAGATTTACGAGTAATGAACACGGAATCTGTAAACGAGAACCTATTTTCAGAAACAAAAATTATTTTGTGAAACACAAGACTTAGAGGAACATGATTTAGCAGAAGTACGGACATCTCGCAAGAAAAGAATGTGTGGAGAAATGAGTAGTGACGAAAGAATAAATTCAGCAAATTACCGCTATGTATGTGAAGTTTATAGATGTTTATTAGATGTAATTTTATCTATACTAGAATATAGATTTAGTGGTTCTGAAAACATCTTCAAAGAATTTTCATTACTACTACCTGAACGCATAGAGTTAAACAAAGACTTCCCAAATAAATTTGATTACTTTTAATTAATTAAATAATTTGATTAAATTTGCGCAGGTTAGGTGATAGCCAACGATATCGCTTACCAGTTGTACATTGAGCTCAATAGTAATAAACTTTTTTAACCATTCATACGCAATCAATTATCAAATAATAATATAATTTACAATAATAGTATTATTAATTATAATTAGTTTTTATGATATTAAAAGTTAAAACATCGAATATGAAAAAAAAAAAAATACAAAATATACTATAAGACATTATAACGTCAAAATTAAAACACAATATCAACGCTCTGTATATCTCGAGTAAACAAACAACTATACTCGGCACAAGTTAAGATCATGACCAGTTGCGCATTAACCTAACCTGAACTTAGCCCACTCATATAAATAACGTTTTTTAGGTAAGTTATAATGATTTGCTAACTATGAAAATCAGTTTGCTATCATTTGTTAACTACTTGCTAACCTTTGGCATACATTTCATGATGACATTGCAAATTGGGTGGGCTGCCTGAACTTGGTCCACCCAAACATAAATTAATTGTAAAGAAAAAATGAACAATTTGCTAAGTGTTGATACAAATTTTGTACACTAATTGGTAAGTGGGTGGGCCAAGTTCAGGGACGTATACCGATAGTCTATCGACTATTATTTATTTTTATTTTTATTTTCTTTATTTTTTTGGACGATTGCTAATATATTATATCTATACACTATACATTATACACGCAACCCGCATTTGGTTATTCCTGGTAAATCGTCTTCGCGTTATCGCAGGATATGTTTGAATAAAATTGTAATCGTGTTAGTATTAAGTATTAACCTTATTATGATTAGATATGTGAGCTCAGTAAATTTACCCTGTAAAATTGACGGGTAAAAGTAAATTTACGTAAATTTTACCAAGTATTTTTTTACTCGGTATTTTTTTTTTTTATTATTGAAAAAAATTGAGTGACCCCTTATTTTAAATGTGTTTACTAGCAGAATACGTTTTATTCACTGTTGTAATATGGATTATGACCGTTAAGGGAATTGTTATCATTCAGTTTTGACTTCTGGTTATTACTGTTGGGTTTGATAAATTACCCAGTAGCAGTAAATTGAACGAATATTTAAACGGTAATAAGTCGCAAACGGATAACTGAAATTAAATTCTGTAAACGTTAAAATTATTTTTTTCAGTATGTTTATAAATTTTCGTTATCGAAATTAGGTAGTGACATTTGAAAATCGAAAGTTGATAGTGTTTTATCAAATAAGGGAGGACGTTAAAATTATCAAAATTGTAACACAATGTAAAATAGTAAAACCTAGAAAGTTAAAAAAAAAAATTGGTTTAAAATTCCTAATACTTTCCGAGATATTAACTGGTTCACGATAAAAAAAATCACCCTGTATACTTATATATTAGGTATATATATTGATTATAACAAAAGTTATTCTAATGTTTTTAATACTATTTTATGTGGTCCCCCTCTATGTAATGGTAATTGCAAGAACCTACATTTATGTATGTCCGTAACAGTAACTATTAAAAGTAAATGTTCTTCACATACTTATTAAGGTCACTACAGAAGGGAAAAAGGCATAATCAGAATACAAAAAAATTACTGTGGGAGACTATTTTTTAACAAGATCATAGAGGACTTTGTTAATTATTTTTGATAATTTTTACTTGGCATTTAAAGCGCATGTTCAGAAGTTCCGAGGGGTGCAAAAATCTCAAGTCCGGCACTGTTTTCATCCATATTTATATAGGTGCCTATATCAGTAGACAATAACAACAGAAAAATTAAATTCCAAAGTTATTTAATTTTATTCAACTCCATTTGGTTTATATTATTTAATTTAACAATAACATAGATAATATAGCCATAATTCCATAATTTTATTTTGTTTGTAATAATTATAATCTCATGAGATGAAAATTATATTAAATAAAAATTAGGCCAAATGCAACTATCATAATTTATCAAAGTTGGTTTTAAATGCAAATTGAAGCTAGGTATAGCGGATTATAAAATGGCAAGTATGATCGCATGCAGGGTACAATGTTCGATATTATAACTGTCAATAGAAGAATTGCTCATATAATCTGTAGATAACGCTATCATACTCTCTCAAATTAAGAATAACTTCGAGTCTCAAATCTCTTAATTAGATATAGACATGTAGTAATGTAGATACATTGACACATTGTACGGATTCTTATGTCAAAAAGGGTCTTTATAAATTGTAAAGTAATACAAAAAATATGTAAGTACCTTTAAAAATTTTTTCAAAAATTAACTTAACAGAAAATGGCCACCTAAAAATATGTATCGGTACAAAGTCTCGGCAGTAAGCTCATAGGTCTATTTCTAAAGAAAAAGAGTTCACCTAATTTAGTAAAGAGTCAGCTGGTTTGAACAGTTTATTGAAGTTTCAAATTTATCATTACAAAATGAAATATTAGGACAATAAATGTGCTTGTGTTATTTCTAATACTTAAATTATGTAATTCTAAATGTTACAGATTTGTTATGAAATATTATTAAATACCTAACCTACCATTTACACAATATTACTTATCTATTTAGACAAAATTGTGAAAAAAGATATAAAACTACTGTAACAACATTAATGGTTATTATAACTGAATTTAGATGACTGTATCAATTTTTAAATTTTTGATTTAATAACTAAAGTTTTAAGTACTCTTCGTAATATTTTACCGCTTGGATTCTTAGGAATGCTATCCAAAAATTGAACACCTCCTCTAAGACGCTTCTGTGAAGATACTTGATCTAAAATACCAATAATAAGTTTATAATATGTAATTGAATGATGAATGTTTAAAATAAAATCAGATTACTCAACTGTTTAAAAACTTTAAAACATCTTTTTCAGTAATAGTTGAATTGGAAGATTTGACAACAAATGCCATAGGAAGTTCTCCCGCTTCCACGTTAGGAAGTCCGATTACAGCTGCGTCGTCTATTTCGGGATGTGTTAACAGTATTGATTCTAATTCTGCTGGTGCAACCTACAGTTAAATAAATATCAAAGTGAAATAACCAAGAATACATTGCATATTTAAGTGAACTAAAAATTGTTTACCTGGTAGCCTTTATACTTGATAAGTTCTTTAAGTCTATCAACTATATAAAACAAATTATCTTTATCATAATACCCTACATCTCCTGTATGAAGCCATCCTTCAGCATCAATTGTAGCTAAGGTTTCTTTAGGATTTTCATAATAACCTTTCATAATCATAGGTCCTTTGAAACAAAGTTCACCACATTGATTTGCTCCTAAAGGCTTACCACTTTTTAAATCAATCACCTATAGTTATTATAAAAACAATGTAAATTTCAGTTAAAACTAATAATTGAACAGTCATTAAACAAGACTAACTTTTGCTGACATGCCACGTAGTAGTTTACCCACAGAATTATTTATGGGTAGATCTTTATCTTCATCGTGTAATGTTGCCAAGACGCATGATTCAGTCATTCCATATCCTTGAAGTATTGTTAATGATTTATTTTTACCTATTCTTTTAGCAATTTCATGTTGAATGTCAAGGGACAATGGTGCTGCTCCAGAATATATAGCGTTCAGGCTAGATAAATTGTATTTATCTATTAAGGGATGTTTGGCAAGAAAAACCATCAATGGTGGAACAGCATATAAAACTGTAATCTAAATAAATATAAATTTATAATAATATGTATTTTTAATTTAAACTAATTAATAAAAATGTATGTATACTTTTTGAGTTTCAATAGATTTCAAAAATAAATCTGGATCAAAATATTTTAATACTATAACTTTACTGCCAAATGACATACACATACAAATGACCAGTAATCCATAACCGTGAAACATGGGTACTAAGCCCATTAATATATCATGAGAATTCACAAATGAATGAGAGTAACAAGAACTATAACAATAAAAAATAAGAAATATGAATTAAAAAATGTTTTTTTCAATTTGTAGGACAGTGATTTAATAATAATTTTGTTAGTAATGTTAAACACAACTTAAAATATTTTATTATTAAGTTGAATAGAATTTTTTACAAGCCAGTGAAAATATGTTAGTATAAATTATATTAACAGAAACATACAGGGTACTCAATAAAATGTTAAAAACATTACAAGAATAATTTAACTCAGTAGGTTCGTGTAGTTGAACAGTAAAAAAATTTTTATTTTACAATTATAAGCAAGCTAAGTACATCAAAATATATCAAATTTTCTTTGATTGTTTAATTTTAACCAATTAATGTACTCAAATTTTAATTTTTATTCAATTAACTAATTTAAATATAATTTATAAATCACACTAACTTCAAAACAGTTATGCAGAGGTATAAAGATTTATGTGTTAACTCTACTCCTTTTGGCAAACCCGTTGTACCACTAGAAAATAGTATCACAGAAGTTTGACTATTATCATATTTAGTTGGTACAAAATTATTATTTTCTTGCAACGTTCTAGGATTACAAAGTACATCAAGTGGACAAACATATTTAATGAAATCACACTTTTTGGCAGCATCTCTTACAATGTTTAAACCCATTTTGGATGATATCATCATTTTAGGTTTACATATGTTTAACACATGTATCAGTTCCTCTGGTTAAACAGAAAGTATGGTAGAATGTTAAAAATATAACAGGTTTTTATAATTATTCAGTTTTTACTGTATATATATGCATTTAAAATCAAATATTAAATATACAAAGCATTAAATCAACAAACATTTTTAGAATATACTTAAAATGTATAAATTATTAAAAGGACAGGTCAGAAGGATAAGTTAAGTAAATAAGTAGATCAAATAAGGATAATATAAGTAATAATATTTAAAAATTTAAAACACTACTTTTGTGAATAATCAAAAAATAAGCCACCAACCTTAAGGTATAATTGGGTACAATTCAAAATATAAATATAGCATATGCATACAAATTAAAATAAATACATTTTTCATACTTACTTTCATTATACATAGGATTGAATAATGCACAAGTACTTCCTATATGCCATATAGCCAATACAAGAGATGGGTACCAAATTGAATTTTCACTGAATATTCCAATAATATCATCATTCTTAATACCACATTCGTATTTTAACCATTCAGCAATATTGAAACTCGCATTTAAAATATTATTAAAAGTAAATGATGATCCATCGTGAAAATCAATCTGTAAATACAATTAGAATTAAGAATTAATTAATATTAAGATACGTTTCAATGAATACCATATAGCTAATATTAAATAGTTTTTTGACAGGACAAAAATCATGAAAATATTATGATTTTTAGTTTTAAGACAATCTAAATAGAAGCTATCCAGTTAATAAGATTGTCATACTTACTTAGGAATGCATGTTTAATATGATACCAACCTCTAGTAGATGTTACATATGTATATTAATCTCATTACTAACATTTATATTTCTGCATGAATGTTCAGTTAAATGTATTGCTAAGATTACTAGTTAAACATACCATTGCAGTCACATTTCCCTTTTCGCCAAGCAATCGAATGAAGAATTGACTTAAATTTGATTTGCTATCTAACAAGTATTTAGGAATTGGAGCTGAATGCACAATGTTTTCTTCAGTACTGGCCATTGTTTATCAACTAAACACAAAAAATAATACTATAGAACTAATTTAACTGCAGTGATAGATTACAATATGTATAATTAATACATGAATATGTACATAGAATAAAATTTACACTAATGACGAATTATTTTATAACTTATGTCTGTATTTCAAACTATCACAATATTTTCTTATACACACCTTATTTATTCGTTAAAATATCTATTTCAAAAACGTATTAAATCTTATTCTTGATTAATTCAATCAGAAACTTTGAATGGTAATATTAAAACACTGTGTTAATAAAAAATTGAATAACTAAAAGGTTCATTTGATTTGCTAATATCAGAATAAATATTGTTAATTTGAAATATTAATTATTTATTGTAATATTTGTCGTGGTCACCTAATGCCAATGAATATTAATTTATATAGTAAGAACTTTGCCATTGAATTTATTTTCATTTATAATTAAATAAAATTACAGAACATCAAACCGTTGTTATCGTTTTATCATTTTCCTTAATCCTACTTAAGCAGATAACATTATCACGATATGTCGTCTGCATTCGAACATTTTCAATATCAATAATTTCGATTCACACAACAAAAATTTTTCTTTATATAGGTACAATTAGGTTTTAATTTAATTTTGAATAAAAAAAAAAACTAATAATTTGAAAACTGGCTATAAATTATAACATTTTATTTTTATATTGAATGTATGCAGGGCCGGATTTAGGATTTGTAGGCCCCTAGGCTCAATTGTGGTGTGGGCCCTACTAGAAAGTTTTTAGAAAATAAAAAGGACATAAATGATAATAATATAATAATTTTGCCCATAGGCGTGTTTACATACGAGTCGTTTTCAATGAAGAAACAAGAAACGGTTCAGTCGGGGGAACGAATTAATAATAACAGCAAAAAAAAAAAAACTAAACGTTATCGAGCGATAATCTACCGACGACGCGGTGTATGGGAAATTCCCATTATATATGTACACACTATATACTATATAGTATATTTTATTACACAACACCAATTTTAGAAAACTATAAATGAAAAATTTTTAGACGGAGCTTTTTTTTTTTTTTTTAGTTGTACGATGGTGTGGTGAGGGCCCTGTTGTGGTGCGGGCCCATAGGCTACAGCCTATATAGCCTACGCTTAAATCCGGCCCTGAATGTATGACATTTCTAATTTCTATGCTAATGTATTTTTTGACAAGTGAATTACCTTGTTTTATATAATCAAAGAAACGATATGTATTTTTATTTATATCAATTTAAATAACTGCTTTAATACAAAATGTTACATAAATATAAAATACATTTTTCAATATTTTAAGTTGATTATCAGTTAATTAATTACCAAAGTGTAGTAATTCCATAGGTATTATAAGCTCGTCGACTACAAGTATAGTAATCTTATCCGGATAACGAAACCTTTAGGTAGTGCAAGCACGCGAAGGTAATACCTTATGGACGATTCGAATGTCGCTACAACTTGTCCGTGTTTTGGAAACCACTCTATCCGAAAAACGTTACGACGACTGGTCGCGACCGTCAGGCGTGACGACTTGTCGCCGCGACATGTCGTACCTTAGAAACCGTAGCTTTCGAGGTCTTAATTAGTGATGGGCGGTAATGAATAATTTGTACTATCGATTATTATTTGATCATTCATATATACTATCGAATAATTATTCGATTAATCAATACTATTAAATAATAATATTGAATAATCAAAATTATCGAATAATCGATACCATTGAATAACTCGAATAATCTGTAGTTTGTACTCTGTACTGTTGATAATTATTCGTATATACTTGCCGGCGGTCGTACTTTATCCATACGCCGAATGTATTTTTCTAAGTTATTCACCAGTTTCATCTTGTTTATATTAATATCAGGCCCGTATTTAAAAATTTGACACCCCCGAGCATATAATTTATGCCCCCCCCAAAAAAAAAAAATAAATAATAATAATATAACACTTATTATTTCGTCCATGATCGATATTTTTTAATATTAAAATATAACTTAAAAATGAAAATCATTTAATACTTTTTTTAATTAAAAAACTATAACATAATAAAACATACAATTTCCTTTTTTTTAATTAACAAGTTATATGATAAAAATTCAATTTTTTTATAATTTACAAATTATAACATAATAAAACATATTATTTTCTTTTTTTATTTTATTTTTTTTCATTAGGTTCATCAATTTTAAAATTAATTTTACTAAAATATTTTGCCACCCCTGAGACTTGACGCCTCCGGTCATGTGCCTACCCATGACCCCCCCTAAATACGGACCTGATTAATACATTGGGCTAAAAATATAAATCATACGTTTTCTCCAAAAATAATCACGCAAATAATAATACAAAAAATATATAAATTAAAAATATTTTATTAAAATTAGCTTAGATTTTTAAATAATAATATTTTTAAAAAATTAACAGCTGCATATTTTTGTGTAAAAAAAATAAGAGTATTTAAATTATACTATAAATTATTATAAGTATATAATTATACCAGGTATTCACTATTCATACCTAGTGCCGGCGCTATGGGAGGACAAATGGAACATTTGTCCAGGCTCCTTGCTTGTTAAAAGGCCTCTGTGATTTTAAATTATCATCTTAATACCGTGAGACACATTGACATTTTATATCCTAAAGGCTTATGTCCAGGGCCCCGCAATACCTAGCGCTGGCACTGTTCATACCTACCATTGTATCCAATGAATCTCAATAGTGCAGCTGTTGTGAGTCACGCACTGTAATAACGCGGCTTTTTATTCCAAGATTAATAAAATACTGATAACATTACTGTACATTTCTAAACATTTAATAATAATATTAAATAATAAAATTATACTCTATTAAAAATTAAATAATTATTCGATTGAATAATAAATAACTTGGCAAGATTATGGAATAATTCGATAGTTATTATTCAATAACGTCCATCACTAGTCTTTACATATATTAAATTATTATTAAATATTATTTTACGTATATTAAATAAATCCTAAAAAATAATATAAACATTCATCATTAAAATTACCAATCTAGTAATTAGTAAATGTAATAATTAGTTGAATATTAATTATTATTATTTACCAGGGTTGCCACCCGTCCCGTATTCCACGGGACAGTACGGTTTTTGTTTGATTTGAGTATTTCTTAAAATTATACACAAATATTGTGATATTTAAAATCTATCTGTACATTTTCACCAAATCAATTGATTTAATTTATTTACAAACTATTTGTCTCTTATATGCAGTAAATTATATGTTTGTATTAACAGATTAACTACTATAATACATACTGTGTTGCTTATCCGTTTCTATTGTTAGATTTTAGTATTAAATATAATATTAATATATAAACAAGTTATAGACGTGTGTTTAGCGATAGGCGGTGGCTAGATAATTTGTTATTTGTTTTTATTTCCAGTAATAAACTAATAGGTTACAATTAGTAATAACTTATGAGTAAGGGTCCGAACGCACTGCGGTATTTTCGCCGTCGGGTCCGAACGGTTTTACCCGAACGGTTTTTACGTTCACACCAAACTACTATATTTAGACGGACTGCACCGCACTCGACGGTTTCGCCGTTCTCCGCCGTCGGTCGCCGCAACATGCTGCGGTTTGACGGCGCTGCCGTTGTACCGTTCGTAAACACATTGTTTCGATGGAAAGGAACCCACTGTGACTATAGTCAACGGTTAATTTTGTAATTTTTCATATACTTATATTTTTTTTCTAATTCACCAAATGCTTCTGCGACAGCAATCACTTTAAATAAATTGTCATAATCATCTAACTCCATTCTAAATAAATTAAATGTAATATAATAAGTAGGACTATGCATTAAATTAACTAATAATTTAATTTATAACTTACTTACATGTATTTAGGTGTTTGTGTACAAATCGTGGTAGGTAGGTATAAAAAATTTAAATTTACAGTTTTAGATATAGTGAAATATAGTAAATACAGTAGATCACAGACCATAGTAGTTGGTTAACCAACAACTGTACTATCAACTATCAATATTCAATTTTCTTATGGAAATTAGAAATTGATATTTAGCCAGTTTAGGCGGGAAAATTGAGTGATAGCACCTATTGTATTAGCGGTAAAAAATCGCAGTGCGGTGCGGGTCGTAAAATCCGCGAACGGTAAAACCATTTGGACCCGACGGCGAAAATACCGCTGTGCGTTCGGACCCTAATAACCCTAATAATTTTTGATTAGCATATATGTTTATAATATATTATCATAAAATGATTCGGTTACTTTGAGTTGATGAATCAAGGAATTTTCAATTGATAGTATAGTGAGAAAACTATCCAGAACTAACCAGTTATATTAGCAAAAAATATACGACACATAGTATTTATATTAAAACCATGTTGCAATACCAAATTTAATCTATGAGATAGACAGTGTGTAAATAAAGCATTAGGAGTAAGTTCTTTAACTCTAGCCTGTAAACCTGTTGAATGCCCAGACATTACACATGCCTCATCATAACATTGGCCAACTAATTTACTTTCCATATCAAACTTATGTAAAGCAGAATAAACCAAATTAAATAAGCCTTGTGCCGTGCGGTCTTTACTAACATTATGAAAACCCAAGAAACGTTCAACTAATTAAGATTTATCTGTAACATATCTAATAATAATTGAACACTGGGTTTTTTGACTAATATCTGTTGTATCATCAATTTGAATAGGATAAAATTTACATTGCCTAATTTCATTTTTTATTTGATTTATTAAGGAATCAGAAATACATGATATTAAATCATTTTGTATAGACTTGGACATACCTGAAAATGTGTTTTATGCTTTTATAATGATTTTGAATTTCTTGAGAACATCTAACAATATGCATATCAAACAACTCTCTAAAGTTCCTTTTATTTAATGAATCACTACTCTCATCATGACCACGAAATGCTAACTCTTGTTTTCCCAAAAATAAAACCAAATCAATTAAGTGTTCCATAAATAAACGATTCAATCTCACATTCTCGTTATATATTTTTTTAAATAAATTTCCATGTTCATTAATAATATCTACTATAGTAGAACTCTTTTTTTCTAATTTTTTTAATCCTAAATGATTATGAATATGTTCTTTAGATGATTGATGTATTTGAATACTCCTAGATAAATTTTTTAAATCATAATAACCAATAGTATTCCAAACAGACTGAATTTTACCCATTAACAAACACGGCCAACAAAACAATTTCTGTAAATAATGACTTCCACATAACCAAGAGTGTTGTTGATATAAATTTGGATTGAACGATCTACAGAATACCTTACTTGATTTTTTGTCCGGAGTCAAAACTGACAAAATCGGAATAGCCCTACCTACTTTCAGTAAATCATTTTTATTATCCGACTTCCAACGTCGAAATGGCGTTTCCAACAACATGACAACTTCGTCTGTAACTGGATTCATGATGTTAAAACTCGAATAAAAAGTTCGACACGCGTAGACAAATTTAAACGAAACAACACGAACGACGATTCGAATAAGACAGAAACAGAAATATAAACCAATATTGAAATCGGTTTCATTAGGCGCTGTGTCAATAATACGGGTATACCATGGTTTATGTCGTTTGTGATTATCTTATGTCTATATTTTGATGTTGATCGTGCCGCAGTCACGGCTGCGGGCTGATCATAGTATACCATATCTATTTTTAGCACTCAGAGGCGATGAAAAACGAGCCTCACGATGATCATTGCGCATGTGCAACTCTGCTTATTAAAACAGTCACGTGCACTCGCGTACATACGCTTGTGTGTGTAATTAATGTACACAAGTAACAATTCAGAGGCGACGTCCGGTCAAACAGAAAGTGGACTGTCCGCGCGGCCAGGCCGCCGGTTCGCTGATAGTCAAAAAGAATGCGGACAAGTTTGAGCGAACCAGTTTGAAAACTGCACAAAGTGTACTGGTGGTTATTTTTTATTTCCACTTTTTTAGTTTTCTGTTTTCATATTACAAAATGTCAAGCAGTTCTTCCGACGAAGAAGAATTGCTTCTTCTGCTTGCCTTAAGTCAAGCAAAAAGAAAAAAAAAGAAAATGGGTACATGAAATAAACCAAAAAAGGAAAGAATTCGGGGAGTTTCACCGACTGTGCAGTGAATTGAGTTCTTTTGAAGACCGATTTTTTACATATTTTCGAATGTCTCGAGAACAGTTTGAGAATTTGCACACTCTTTTAGAAAATAAAATATCGAAACAGACCACTAATTGGAGGAAACCCATCGGGATAAAAGAAAGGTTAGCAATTTGTTTGAGGTAAATAAAAATAATCTATAAATTATAATAATCCAAAAATAAATTTATAGCTTATACTCAATAATATTATATAATTTCTTCATTTCTTGTATCAAAACAAGTTATTTTCGATGTTGTTATTCGTTAATACATTTTCTAGAATTTTCTAGGGTATTCTAGAAGTGCTGGTACGTGTAGAATATTCAGTGTATTGTCTACTAATTGGAGATTATGTTTTCGAGATTATGATTAGATTTCAAGTTATTATTATTATTAGAGTATAAACGTATAGTAGTAATATTATGTTATCTGTATTAGTATAATATATTATAAAATATATTTTTTTTCTATTCTATTTATGTATACATTTTATTTGAGTCCGCCACGAACTTTGTGAAAAAATACAACAACCCGTTTGTTCGCGGCGGACTATGGTAGTCCGCCGCGGTAGGCCGCTGTCTGTTTAACCATAGTGATGCATTTAAGGAAAAATAGAAAAAAAAATCCTAGTAGTATAACTGCTGCAAAATTAAAAAAAGGTGAAGCAGTTCATGCACAAAAAAAACATACGTGTAACAAAATGGGTTGATAAAAGAGAAGTGTGTATGATATCAACCAAACATAATTAAGTTTTGAAAATGTAACTGATAAATTTGGTAGACAAAAATTCAAACCTATTGTGATTGTTGACTATAATAATCACATGCCAGGAATAGATAGAGCTGATCAAATGATGAGCTACTATCCAATGCCCAGGAAATGCATGCGTTGGTATATCAAAGTATTTTTTCATTTTGTGGATGTCTGTTTATGGAACTCCAACTACTTATATAATTTACAAGTATCAGAAACTTCCCATCTAGAATTTAGAAGACGAATTATAAGTTCTTCACTTGATGTTCCATTGAATAAACGGCCATCATGCAGCCCTAAATCATTAACAACGAATGAAGTTCAAAGTAAACCATTACAAAATATACAAAAAGTTCAAAAACGAAAAACATCAATTGCCGGTAGTTGCGATAATGTGCAGTATAGTTATGTGGCGTAATTTAATTAGTTGTTATCGAAATGTCAACCGAGCAATAAAAGGCGTTTTGTGCGCTAATAGGCCGTCACACACGAACGGATTTTATGACGGATTAAATCCTTAGGTCCTCGATGGACTAGGTCCTAAGTTGTGTCCACTAACGTGAAAATAAAAATGCTCTATATTTCGCGTTTCGAATCCACCAGCGGACTAAATCCGCTAGTTAGTGAAGGAAATCCGTTGACTTTTGTCCTAAGTATCTAGTCCTTTGATCTTTCAAAACGTACTGAAAGACCTGCGGACTTATACGACGGAATACAGTTTTCTTATCAGTTATTATTGTTATGTTATGATGCTACATTTTGTCCATCGCTGGATCTTACAATCTGTGATTTTTTTCTCTGGGGTTACATAAAAAGCATTGGTTATATTCTTCCCCTTATAAAAGATCTTGACAAATTGAAAAGTCGAATAACAGACGCCATCAATTTGGTTACAGTCGATATGCTTCAACAGATTTATGAGGAATTTGAATATCGCTTAGATGTGTATCATGCAGGGGCAGACTGAGAGTACTTCGGCCCGGGTGAAGATTTGAGCGGCCCACATTTTTCTTTGTATAATCAAAAAATTTGCAGCTCGCTTATCATAGACTAAAATCTCCTAAAAGGGTGTTTAGCACCACCAATATATTCCATAAATAAATAATACTTATCATCATTCATATTATATTATATCGTTTTTAATAATTAAAATCTTTTATGTCTATATTTAGATATTACCGAGACAATAATTTATTAGGTACTTATTTTTCAGATAACTAATGATCATTGTGACTTTGTGCTGTTTCGACCTACTATTATATCATAAAAGTCTTGATTATTTTATGTACTTATTATTATTTTATAAGTCAATTTTTATTTTCATGAATTTGTTTCTATTTATTTTAATATTTTTTTAAAGATTTGGCAGAGTATTTGAGATTTATGGGGATTGTGAGTGTCCCCACGGGTTACTGATAAGTTAATTTTGGAGGGACTTGAGCACTCCCAAGAGTACTAAGTGGATTTGCGCTTATGTCGCTTATGACTGGCCAAGCCCGGATTCTGATAATTTGGGGCTCAGGGCCAAACAATTTTAGAGGCCCACAACCATAATCAAAATATTGATGACCCACACATAAATATATTTCAGAGGCAAAAAAAAAAATTGTATTCTAATTTATAAATTTATTTTTTGCTTTTTTAATACACAAAATAAAAATGTTATTTATATAAATAATTTTTTTTTTGGGAAGCAAACCCTTAAATTATATCATCAGTATTAATTACTTCTAAAACATTAATCTTTGAACACATACATTATTATACATTATTACCACAAAATAGTGAATTCCTTATTTTTGCATAAATAGTTTATAATAATAATACGAGTATAATAGGTAACAAATGAATGAATGAAATATCAAATGCTTATTATTTAAATTTAAATTTATAAATTCAACATTTGACGCATAATGGTGGATGATTCTTTTAAATAGTTAACGAATTCCGAAACATCTATTTCATCCAACAGCTCTTTTTTTACTGACAATAAAATCAGAGATTTCAAATTTTCTTGATTTAAATTGGATCTTAATTTAGTTTGAATGAGTTTCAGCTTATTAAATGTACGTTCACAGATTCAACAACTTTCAACGTTCACAACTTCTGTAACTCATAAAGTTAAAAAAAAATGCATACGCTTCGCATAGTGTAATATAAGCAGACATGTAAATTTAAATTATCTTCAAACTTAGACACAATGCAAGCAATTTTTCTTGTCGTGGTAACTGTAAACTGCATTACCTGAAACCATAAACAAATTATTATTAGTCATGATTAAATAAACATTGTAAATAAAACGAATATTTACACTATTAATCTTACTAGGAAACATATTTTTATGGACCCATCAACTTCTTTGTTTTCTAATTCGATTTCCATGTCACTTTTTTCTTCAGTTTCGGATTCTGAGTATATTAATTTTGTTCTTTTCTCTACTGGATTAGATATGTTTGGGTAGACTTTTGTAAAATATTAAGTTTCAGTTTTAATTTTTCAAGATCTATACTTGCTATAGATTGCTAGGTATATTAGCAAAATGTAGATATATTTACGATATTAGAAGTAAATAATAATATTATGTAAAAGAATTCGTGCCCCAGGATTGTGTATTTGTGTGTCTATTATTGTTATTTTAGTAGGTAATTATAGCATAATTGAATATAAAATTATAAAATAATATATTTTTATTAAAAGTGCACCATGACGAAGGGGCCTCGGTGAATTTCTCCCACTCTCCACCTGGGCCAGTTCGCCACTGGTGTCATGTAAGTAAGGGGGGCACATTGAACATTTATAAGCATTGTACCTAAGACTTAAAATACTCCTTTAAAATGTAAAATTTATTCTAACCTAATTAATAAAATTTTTCAATAAATATGATTTTTTGAAATAGGATGAATCATTTTGGAACACTCTGAATAAAAACAGTGATTTTTACAATTACTTTCTGCAGAAGAATTAACCACAATATGGTCTTGTTTAGCTGGAATTATTGATAATACATTATACTGTTGCAAATATGTAGGTTCTTTTATACGACACTCATATCGATCTTATTTAAAAAATTTGTTAACTATATCAAAATGTAACAAAATAAAATTGTTTTTGTTATTATATTTTAAATCATAAAGAAATCTAATTTGTAAAGTAATATCTAATGACACATTATGCTTTTTTCATAATATTTTTGTTTATTATGCATCTAATATGTAGGTCGTACTTTAATTTCTTTTCTTTACAAAAATTATATTAATACAATAATAAATCCGGGGAACTGAATTCACACTAGATTCTAGGGAGGGTTCAGCCTCCTAAGCCTCACCCTATTTTACAAATTTTGTATACACTTTTTATACTATTTTCAAAATATAAATTATTTATATATTATTATAATAGAGCATTGTACACATAAATTATAAACAATTAAGTAAACAGAATAATTGAATTAGATTACTACTATACATTTTATTTGGTTCCTAATAAATCTGAACATGCCAATTATTTCAAGCAGACACAGATCTAGAAATTAAAAGACGGCTTCTTACTGGACGAACATTTTTTCTTTTAATTACATAAAATCATAAGCATTAAGTTTTTAAAAGGAATAAAATAATAATAAAAAAACTTGGATGACAAAATTATTTTTATTGCATTCATTAAATAATAATGTTGTACACCATAATCTGTGCAAAAATATTTAATGAAAAAAGATCACAGTTCATTGGCTAATTAATTTGACCAGTTCTCTATTTTTATTCTTCTAGGTTAGGACATTGATGAGTATATAAATAATCATGGTTATTATCATTCTTAAACTTCAATAAGCAATAAAATATTTGTTATTAGTGTTGCTCTTTTTTACTTTAATTAATAAATTAAAAATTAAGGTAATCTTTGAAATATTTGATGTACCTACCCAAGGCCTATGAATGGGGATTCAGCCCTTCCCCTTGTATCTGCAACTGATCTCAAGTGATAAAAATGTAAGATAATGACTTGTAGATTCAAAACCAAGTCTATATGACTTGTGTATTTGATATTATATTTTACCAGATATTTCAAATAAATAAAACCTAATTAAAAAATGTCTAAAGTAAAAAAACAACAAACAACTAATTAGTGAATTTAATATCAGTCAGTGACTTAATATTTGAGTTTTATAATCATAAAATATTAATATATATTAATCAATAATCATCATACTAATATGTTTAAAGAAGTTAAGAACTGAACTTAACAACATTGTTCCTGGTATAAACAATTATTTAAAGTTTATAAGACCTTACATATTATACATTAAAAATTAATATACTTAGTAATTTTTAATTAATTCAAAAATTATATTTTTTTAACATGTTTAATTTTATTTAAGTTTAGACACAATATAGTTTCTTACAATAAATTGTAAATTAAAATTGTCAAGTACATTTATTACTTAGCAGTTATATTAAATCAAAGATATAATGAAACCAAGATTATATTTAAAACATACTTAAGTTTATTTGTTACACAAAAAATTTGAGTAGTATATTTTTCAAAATTAAAATAATACTTGGTGATATATTGTTATAATAAATAATCACAAGTCTCAGGTAACCTAATTTGACCATAAAAATAAGACTGAATGACTTATATAAAAATTAAATATAATGATTGCACAACATAATTAATAATCCTAAATATTTATACGACCTATAGTATAATTACATTGTACAATATGTATTTATGTTAATAATACTGTTTTGTTTCTAGTAATACTGCTTAATTAAATAGCTATTCTTAACATTAAACAATTAATTATTATGATAAATGTATTGTTAGCTCAATGTATCAATGGCAAATTATTATGATGCATATGAATGCAACTTATTACTTATGTTAATAATAAATATTAATTTTAATTTTAATTAGAAGAAAAAAATGAATATAGAATTTTATTTACTAATACAATTAGGTAGTATACAGAGGGAATGTAATTTATTAAATAAAAATTAAATAAAAAAAAAGTTGATAAAATATTATAGGTAACTAAAAGAAGAGAAATTTTGGAAGTTTACCCAGACTATTAGTCATAATTTGGCAGTTCTCAGCATTTAGATAAAATTAAATTGGATAACATTACATGTTGAAATAATGTAAAAAGTAGGTACTTTAGTTGGGCTTGTATAGTAACAATTTACTTTAGAGTTAATCTCATGTAAAATTGACCAAGGTGTAAGTATCCATTATCAAAACCAATGGAATAAAAATGACCAAGCCCAAAATATAAGTATTGTTTGAATCACAGAGAGTTTATGTTCAACGGATACGACCGTGTTTAAATCACTTCTTCTGGAAATTCCTCTGGGCTCTGATCGCCATTGACACCGTTGCAGTGTTCAGAGCTGCTGATCACGTAGGCACTAGCCTTTTGTTCATAGCGCTCGGCAAAACCTGAGTCCATGGAACGAATGCCAGTCAGGAAGCTCTCTTTGTCGTCATCCGACCACGTCTGTACCCATTCGGTGAACAGCTTGATGCGGCATTTGAACAGACTGAGCGGACGGCTTTCTTCCATCCCCGGGCCGTCCACGTTGGGCAGCAGCCCGTTAGCGACACCGTTTTTTGTGACGAATCCGTGCACCAGCACCGGCAGGAAGTCGCCGCGTTCCATCTCGCTCCACTCGCCGAACCACTGCAACAGGTAACGGATCTGCGCCACGACGGTGGGCGTGTACGCGTTACTGTTCTCGTTGGCTACTACCATCGTCGACAGCTGGGCGATAGTCCCCGGACGAGTCGACTGAGAACAAAAAAAAATACCGAAATCCCGTATGAGAACGACGGAGCCAACGTGCGCAAATGATTCCGCGCCGTTACCGCTGCAACGAAAACGGTCGTTCAGAAAACCATAGCAACGGCCAACGGCGTGTTCGTCGAGTCTTAACGACGACGACGACAACAACAACAACGACGAGAATTACAAATTAGTAGAAATAGGTGAAAATTAATGTTATCGTGTCGCGATGTTGACTTTTGGTGATAACGGATGCCGCAATGTTGACGCGTGGCGGGGAGGAAGAGTACTGATAATAAACCCTTTATAAACCTCGGGAGCGCACTGCGAACATTTACACTGCATCGGTGTACGGTGTTTGTTATCGTTGTCGGCCGATAACACGGTACGGCTAGGACGCGACGATGCGCAAGGGGTAATCAAAAACAACGCGAAAAATCATCACTCATTGCAACCGTTCATCTGCCAGCGCGGTACCTAAACATATTTCAGACCGAAAAAAGCTGTGAAGCCCTTACGTAGACAACACGGGTTTTATATCCTTTACCCGATGATCAGGTATTACTGTTTTCCGCCAGCCTATGGTCAGCGGAAACCCATTGGTGCCCCGTCCGACGGTCGGTTTTACGCGCTGAACCCTGAACTCACGGTCGTAACGTTACCAGACGCGATCGGGCGCGGGCGATTGAAATTAAGCGTACGATAATATTTTTACTTGTGCCGATCGGACGACGATGTTGCCGGCGGTTGCTTTGAGGGCGATGTACGAACTATTTCGGCGGCGGCGGCACTACACGGCCGGTCGAAGGATGTACACGATGATAAACAATATTATTGCTCTGGTACTGCGACGGGCCGCGGCACGTTTGCATCGGCGTCCAGGTCAATAATTAGACGAAACGTGTTTTCTACTGGTGGCCGCTGGGTGGGGCGGGCGAAGATAGAGAGAGGCTACTTGTGCCGCCGCTGCCGGTCGGATGTAGGACGCGCACAACGTATCTACGCGTACCGTCGCCGGATCGGGTTCACGGATGAAAGAAATTAGTCACGGTGTACGGATCTCGCCGCTAAACTCCGGTGGTTCAAATTCCGTTGAACCAACCCCATCCCCCCTACCAACAACTTGTCCTTTAATGTATCAAAAAGTAAATAGATGATTATAGGAACCACACTTTATTATTTTACAATTCTATAGTGCAAAATAATCATAAACTATTCCAGGCCAATACGTCAGTATCGATAAGAATCGCGTTCTGGTCCTACATTCTTAACAGGGGAGAGGGGTAAGATTGGGATTCATCCTCGGGCACAACATTTTATGGAGTGTAATTTTTGTAAATATATAATCTATTATTGGCTTCTGTTCTAAAATTGAATAGTATAGGTTAATAATTGTTAAATAATAATGTATTCAGTGGCGGATTAAGTACTTTTTCGTGGTGGGCGATATTTTGCTAATAACGATTCTTAATGTCCGGCTTCAGAGTGAAAACAAACTTATAATTTGGCATTAAAATGTTTGGGAAAATCAGTTGTGTTATGTGCAAGTGTTTATGTTTGCGAATTGTATATTTAATTCAGGGTATGGTCGAATAGCACTTAATTTAGTCAAATTGCACTTGGGTTGAAAAAAAAGTAATGGTCGAACTGCATTCGGGTAAAAAACAGGCATTTAAGCAAAAATATCATGTATTGTAAGAGGTTAAACATTTAAAAGACACTAATTTCCCATTCCATTTATAGGTTTAGGACTTACAATGATTTTAATTATTGGCATGGTTAAAATGATTTTTTTATTTATAATACGAATACACGAATATTATATAAACATATTACATTTTTAAAATCTTAAATTAATTAATTAAATTATATAAAGTATAATTGCTATCATTATTATAATTTTTTTTCAACCTTTGTCAATCATTTTTTGTAGTTATAATAAACTGAATTCAAAAATTTTGTTATATTTTTCAATAACATTTTTTTTTTTTGGTATCATGTTGTTGAAGGTCTTATGTAAGTATTCTGTATTAAAATATAAATATCTATTTTTAATTGTGCCGTAGCGTTCGTAAACATAAGATTCGTAATATTTATATCGTTTTAATAAATGCGGGGTTTCTAAAGACATATTTAGTAAAAACATATAATTTTTCATGTACAAATTTTGTACACGAAAAATGTTTAGCAATGTACAACAATATAGTTATAAATATTTTTGTGCATGTATACATGAACGTTCATAATGGAAAGTCTATTAAAGTTTTAATCCTTTTTTGATCGAGTGCACTTCGACTACTACCTGCTTTTTACCCGAGTGTGGTTCGACCATTACCTTTTTTCAACCTAAATGCAATTCGACCATTATTTTTGGGGGTAATAAGTGTAATTCGACCATCCCGTTAATTCATTATTACACTATACACAGTGGTTAAAGGGGTGGGGGGAGGAGGACGGAGTTCCCCTTCTTGATTAAGGTAATATTTTGGTTCCTTTTTAATGCAAGTCTCCGAAGTGCGGGAGGATGCTAAACGGCGTAAGTATTTATTAAATAAAGTACAAAATATACTATTATATGGAATTTGTTATATTTATAAGAAAAATAAATATCAATAAAATATTAATAAATTTGAACAATTGGAAAAAAAGTTGAGACTTCAAAGAAAAAATATTATATACTGCGACGTGTAAGAAATAAATATAAGTTAATATTTTCGTATTCATGGGTTAATTTAACAGACGTAGGTACCTTACCCTTTACCCAATACTCGATTACTCTTACACCAACTCCTAATTTATTATTTTAATGGCTGTTTTAAAACTGAAGATATATATGATAGACAACAGCAGGGTTTGCGCTAAGAATATTTTAGAACTGTACAAGTAGGTACCTGAACTTAGTTTGTATACACATTTTGGCATGAGAGAATACCATGCTCAAATTTTTTACTACATGAATATAAAGATAAATATACCTAGTTAAATTAAATATACCTTACATTACAATGTAATCTAGCTCTGGAACAAAATATTCACCTATAAATATTTTTATATTTCAAAAAAAATTCAAAAATGTTAAACTCAATAAAATATATTTAAACATTTTAAACTAGGTAACTAATATTAATGAAAAAAAAAAAAACAAAAACAAAAACGTGGAGCTATTTTCGAATAATAATTTGTAATAAAAGTTTAATAATGATATATTCATAATATAATGAATTGGTTATCTTAATTGGAAAATCGAGTACAAATATTATAAAAATAGTCGGAATTTCAAACGACAAATTTAACAATGTAAAAGGTTTACCCTATGCATTTAACATATTACAATCCGTCAATCCACATTAGTTCATGTTTGTATCCTAATGTCATGATAATATAATTTGATTATTATAAATTATTATAACTTTAATATAAATCGTTTTGGTATAGTATTATACTATTATCTATAGTATATTAGTTATTGTTTTACAATGCTAAATTAGGTAGCAGTAAGTACTGCACAATTTGTGTTGTACTGCCCATTAGCGCAAATTCTGGACAACAGTATCATATGCAGGGACTGTAACTGGACCGAAAATAACCGGTTATAGAACCTGGAACCTTGTGTTAATTGTGAACCGGAACCTCAACCGAAACCATTTTTTTCAAATGTTAAAAAAACCGGAACCTAATTCTTAAAGTTTGATTTCTTTCGGTTATAATTTTTTATTTGTAAGTAAATTTATTAAAGAAATTATACTATTTGTTTGACGTTTACAGTATTATTTATTATTTAATTTATATTTTCCAAGAATATTTTGTAGTATGCATAATGGAAAATATTTTAATCAAATTTCCTGCAATCCAGTCGATACAGACTATTTTTCAAAGAATTAAAAAAAGTGAAGTACCTATATAATTAATAATATATTAATAATTGATTATAGTTAATAAACTGTAATATAGCTGGATATTACCGAGTACTATTAACTCGAAAATTTATTAAAAATATATGGTCTAATTTTCCTTGTCATAGTTATAATGAAAACAAGTTAATGAATAGCAAAGTATAAATAAATAGCGTGTAGTGCAGTGGCGTAGTAAGGGGGGGGGGGGGGGCAAGGGGGCGGCACTTTTTAGGGAGCGGTAAAATTTTACAGTAAATAACAAAATATATTTTGTAAATATTTGAACAATTTCATATTTTTAACGCAATTATAAATTCGGACTGAATGAAAAGAGCACCGAATTTTTCATTACTTATTCTGTGACGGCAGGGCCTGGCAAGGTGGGCACCTGCCAGGGGTGCAAAATTTGATATCATTAAATTTGAATTTGAAAAAAAATATTTCAATATATTAATATCTGTAGTTAAATGCAAGTTGATTAATACTGTTATAAATTTAACACTTGTATTTATATATTTCAACCTAAAATTTACTATTATTTATTGAAATTAATTTTCATTCACTACGATCGACGATAACTGGTACCTACCGAATGATTTGTAAAGTAATATATTTTATTTATAACAATGTATATATTTCTACACGTATACAAGCCAAGGAAATATCAATGTGTTTCCTGTGGCCGATAATAATAAAAATAGAACGACTGCACTGTAATATATTATATAGTCGCCTAGCATTGATAGCAGGGAGGAAAGGAATACGCTTTTCATTAGTTTATAGGTCTATAATTTTATTATTATATTTCCATTATTTGGTTATTTTACAATTGCCATTCGATTGAGTCTATTGTCTAAGTGACAACGAATTCTACGGAGCGCCTTTAATTTACTAAAGTAGTGAAGCCTGAAATAGAACAAAGTAAATATTCTAATATAATTTATTTAAAATTTAAGTGTTTAACAATAAATTATTAAAAATTGTTAACATTACAATTGTATCATTTTTTCTATTACTACGTGTCCTACGTGAATCCGGCGAGTGTGTGCGAATTCTATTCTGATTCTATTCTTCTGTTGTTCCGCCGCAGTTCGGTGCGTCCGATGCGGCAAAATATGAGAAGTTATGTTTTTACGTAGGACACGGCGTTAGATTTTATTATTTTATTTTTATTCATGTACAATTTTGCATAGTTTAGGCTTAACTGTTTAAAAAAATAAATATGATTGCATATATATTATTAATTTAGCGAGAAAAATAAGTATACAAAATTACAAACTAATAGTCGAGTTTAAAATAAAAATTTAAAACAGCCGAAGTATTTATCCATCTAATTTATACCAGTTGAGTAGGTATATTTTTACATTTATTTAATATTTTTTTAATTTTTTTATTTAACTTAAGGTCATCATCTATTAAATATGGCCCCCACAAAAAAAAACCTGGCGCTTAGTTTGAGAAAAAAAGGAAAAAGAGAGCGAAAACAATATCAAATCATCTATAATGTTGAGTAGTTGGATAAATAAAAAAGATGATGAGGATAATACTGAGCAAAAAAAAGATGATGCACCGTTAACTAATTTATTGATTCAAAGTGGTGAAAGAGAGGAAAATTTAAATGGCAATTTGAAAAATATTGAAATTGAGAGTACAATTGACGATTGTTACAACTTAACAGGAGATAGTACAGAAAAGAATGATTACAATGGACTTACCACTAGCCAAGAAAATAATAAACTTTACATTAATTTTAATGTTTCTGGTTGTTGGCCGTCTATAACTTC